GGGATAGTTCTAGAAACGTGGCGTCACACTAGTCATGTGACTCGCTGACGCAACAGTATGTTAGCAGGGCTGATTAGAGGAGGCAAGGGAGCAGCTGCCCCGGGGTCTGTTGAGGGGCCCGGCAGTGGGACATTCCAAAGCACACTAGAAATGCATACTTCTTAATCAGCTAAAATGGCTACCGCTTTTTCATGGATTCATGAAAAAATTTGTCACCTTAATATCTTTTATGAAAAATCAGCAAAAGTTAATAAATAGAATGATAGGGAGGCCCGATGACATTACTGACCCTGGGCCTGAGCTGGCTCTCGACGCCCCTGTATGTCAGAGCATATTTACTCTGTGTGTGTGATGTTCGAGATAAATTATTCGACTGTTAATAAATACTACAAAAGTATCGAGTGTTTGTAAACTGCTTGTCATATATTAAGTTTGGGTTTCGGTAGGTGTTTGTGTTAATATTGTTACGTCTCCATTTGTTAACTGATTTTTCCGTAACTTCGTTCCAACGAAACTTTAACGACACAAGTCTTTACTTAATAAAACTGGTTTATTCTTTCCGAATATAACTCTGCGATACACTTAATCTCAATACTCGCGCTAAAACAATACTGTAACGAACGAACGTTAACTTCAACAATACCGTGTGACTGCGGTTCAATTACTCACTATCTATATCACTTGCCGCGTCACGTTGTCCCCTCTTATATATATCCGCCTACCCTATATCTAGTAAGAACTTGAACATTCGCCAAATTACAGGATAGTTCTAGAAACGTTGCGTCACGGTGGTCATGTGACTCGCTGACGCAACACTGCCCCCTCCTTAATATTGTTCGTCCCGAACAATAACCACATACAATAAACCAATAACAATAACTTAATTAAAATGTACAGAATTACAAACACAAAATTACAATTCAACAAAGTCTCTTAATTTTACGCGACGTATCTTCTTCCGTACTGGTCTCCGTCTCTGCTTCACGTGGGGTTCATCTGCTTCATCAGGAA